TAAGAAATTCTTACGTTTATAATCTCTTCTCTAAATAGCAACCAGTTTGTTTCCCCACTTCTGTCACTGTCCTGGAGGATTTTCATCCCCAAACCATGCACCCTGGCACAGTCAGATGGAGCTTTAATAAAACGATAGTCTGTCTCCCCCTCTCTGCCACCCCCCATGGCTAGAGAACAGCACCTTCAGTAGCCTTCTCCAAGTGGTTTCATTTGTTTACAGAGTGCACTAGAGTGCTACTGGGAATGCAGGGTGAAATCTCAAGAAGTTGTGTGTAAATCTTCCAGTAATCTGCCATGTCCAGGAGGAACTAGGGGAAAGGGACAGATGTGTGGGAATATTGGAGGATAATGAAAGCTGGAGTTTTGCTGCTTGGAATTGGAGATTTCTCCCTACAGAATGGGTGGATCTGGAGTATAAAAGAAGACTTCAGAAAGGAAAATCCCTGCCATTATAAATAGACATACCAAAGCAAATAAGCCTAGGATCAAGCAACACATGGAGGATTTCTGGGCTATCAAGCTGCTTAGGCTAAAACCCCACAAAAGTTTGGGTGAAATGTATAGGTCTGTAAAGTCTGTACATAGTGAGAATATTGCAGAGGACCCCCTCCCCAAGGCTGGGGAGCACTGTCTTCAGGTAAGGCAGCTCACTGGCCCTACATAAAACAGGGTGTTCATTCTTATTACTTTGACTCCAGATGGTCTCTAGCCCTCACTACTAATGCTAGCAGAAGGTGTCAGTTTGGCCAAATTATAAAAATTATTTTGCTCTTAAGTTTTACATGTTTATTGCTCCTTTTTTGGAATTCTTAAATGTTTCTCTAAACAAATAATCTTGTTTGTAGAAAAGACGGTTTTTGCTCATTTTAAGAAAAATTACATAGCTGGATTGATTTATGTTTCTTATTAGAGTAATAACCCATCTGTTATGGGGTTAGGTCAGTTCATAAAACTGTAAATCTGGGCGAGAAAAGGTCTTGACTCTTTCCCATGGTAAGCATTTATTCATGTTTGCAAGTTCTTGTTTACATTTCTGCAGAGTCATTGTTTGGTAGCAAAAAAGCAGTGTGGAGGAGTAATACTTTTGGTGTTACCATGCCATTGTATCTCTTACTTTTTCTTGCACAAAGCAGTATTAGACCCATGACGTTCAGCGTCAATAGAGGTCTTCATGTACACACCTTTTTATTTGCATGCATGTGTCATCCCTGCTGAGTACAATAGTAAAGACACTATGGGTTTTTTTAATTGATTATTTAATAGTAACAGTTATTTTTGTGGGGGCCTGTCTTATAAGAGCTGTTTGTATGCTTATAACGTGACACCACGATGCGATTTAAAATGAAAATACATTAATATGCATTACAAGCGTGTGATTGCTTGTATCGTTATGAAATAGATGAAAAATCAGTTCACTACAGTAGATTTTATCTGAACTGATCAAAACATCTTCCAATGATTTTTCTAACAATATGTGATTGGAATAACAACTTCACATGTTGTAGAATTCCATGCTGCAGCCGAGAGGCATGTAAATACAAGCTGCTTATTTGCAAGAAGCTTCCAGATTTGCAATATGATTGCTATGGAAACCGCACAATGAAAACCTTATAACCATCTGTGTGGTTTGGTAGGTTTTGCTGCATAGCTGAGCTGTTTTTGTTTACTGTTATTAAAGTGTTGAATAGAATATATTAACCCACAAACTGGGATTATCCGGGGTATAAACTAGTAATGTGCAATGACAATGTGTCAGAGACTAGAATACAGTAGAATACCAATTAATAATGTCCTTAAATGAGTCTAATGTAAAAAGATGTTTAAGTAATGTGTTAGTAGAGGAAACTGCTAAGTTTATGCCTATTTATCATGAAGATACCACATTCCATTGAGGGAATGCACTGTTCAAGCCAAACTCTTACACATTTTGTACTCAAGTGGTCTGATTTTTTTTTTTCCCCTCCCCCTTTAAGAAATAGAGGCTGGAAGAAAAAAAATTAATGGATTCATGTAAAAAACTCAACTAGTGTAAAATTCATGGTTCACTTTTAAAATTGTGTGGATGGTGGAATCATTTATGATTGGGTGATTATTTTTCTGGTTTTTATTCAGGCTACAAATTAAATAAATTATTTTCAACAGCTTTCGTGGACTAACTGGAAAAACCCCTTACCAAATCCAGTTAGATCCTTGTTGTATTGTCAAAGATTGTTTGCTATTAGAGTCTCTGAGTACCAGCAGAGTATGCAACATAACTTGTATCTCAAGGGTTTTTTGGATCTACAGCTCTGGAAGAGTTCACTGGTTTGATTAGTCTTGAGTAGTCTCATGTTGACATAGTGAGAAGGAGGAGAAGAATATTTCCTCACTGCAATGGTAGTGATAGTGTTAAGAAGAGATACAGAGGAAACATACCAGATTGTTTTAAATGTCTGCATGACTCTTCTTACACAGTATCTTAATACAGAAGTACTTCTACTGTATTTTTTATTTTAGTTTTTCATCTTTTGACTCTCTTCCATGTTGCAACATGAACTTTAGTATCTGATTACATCTGTAATTCCTGGGGTAATTGAGGTTGCTGTGTTTAAAGAACATCTCACACATAGTTACTGCTTCAGGACCTAATACCAGAAAACACTGGGAAGAACCATAGGGGTTTTACCATATTTTTGCTTCTGGAATGCCTCTTCCAGCCTAATTGCCCCTAAAAGTTTGTCCTCTCTGTGACAGCTCTGTAGCGTAAAGCAAAGTGGGTTAAGTGGGGGTGGCTGGGATCTAAACCAGCATGCTAATATAGCCAGCCTTTGTTTGAATTTGGGACCTTTCAGTATTCAAAGTGCCTTGGTTCAGGCGTTTCCTCATCTTCAGATATGGATCTGGTGAACTTTTGTTTCTAGGAAATAGGTTTTTCAGGAAGGGGAGTGCATATATTCTAAATTTTTCCGTGAAACCACAATGCAAGCTACGTGTCTTCAACTGTACCTTACGACAAAATCTCTTCCAACCTCTGCTGTTTTACTTCAGTTGAAACACCCTCCGACGTCAGTCCCCAGTTTAAGCTACTCTGATGACCATGACAGTGATAGACTTAAAATCCACAGTACATTCAACACATCAGTTGATGTAGGTCCAAACATTCAGTAACATGTAATATCAACATTTATTTAATCAACGTATAATACTCTGTGTATTGGATGAAACTGGGTTGTTCTGGGAAAGGGCAGCAATCCTAGAAAATGTGACTGATGATGGGATAATACTGTCTGTGAGTGGTGTAATAGTGGTAAGGAAGCCACAGAATGACAGTGCCTCCTAGCGCTCCGAACAGCATGTAGGGATGTATTTTTGCCATTTATGCTCCAATTGTGAGTGCTTAAAATAAACAAATGAGTGTCCTTGGAAACATGCAACAAGTGTTATGCCAAATGAATGTGAATGTGGTAAATAGTTTAGAGTGTTTTGTGCTGTACCACAGTTTCAGATTTCACCCATTCTCTTGTTTTTTCCCTTGGCTTAAATAATAGTGTATATTCATCTCAACCAGATTTTTAGCTAGTCAAGTGTCAGAGAGCAAAAACTCTTGCTGGTTTAGTAGGGCAGAATTTCAAAGCTTTTATGGAGTGAATCTTATGATGTAATTGTAATGCTTGTAAGACTACGTATATAGGTTAGAAGCAATTATGCATACTCATTTCAACAGGTCTACTCTTGTGCTTTAAACATCTGCTCTACTGTTTGCAGGGACAGTCTTGTGGATAGATTAAATCTTTACAAGGCTAAAAATCCTTTGAACTGTTGATATAAAATTCACTCTTTGTCAAAGCAGATAGGCCATTACATAAAAGTTGCACTATAAGGTACATTTTAAAATCTTGAGTTATCTGTTGTTTGTCATTAATAAAATACCAAAATTAGCTGCGGAAATGTGTGCCTTGAAAAGAAGCAAGAATATCTGTATAAGATGTGATGAGTAGCAAAACGAAATGGTTTAAATGTATTAAAAGTCCAGTTCTTGTTTGAGAAGTAGGTTTATCAATATACTATTTCCTCATTCAGTACAGCAGCTTTGTCAGTTTTGATATACTGTAAAGGCCAAGATAGATCTTGTTTCTACTTCCTTATGAACCTAAAGAAAGAATGCAGCTAAAACCCCTCATAGTTTGTTCCCTTTTTTGCCTCATCAACAGAATTGTTGACTGTGAAATGTGAGGAGCAGATCTTATGTCCCCATATTGAGTGGAGTGTGGATTTACTTAAGTAAGGGTGTGGGCATGAGAGTTCCCAGTCTGTGCTGGACAAGGAGTATGGAGCACATCTTTTGAAATTGCCTGTGGGCATTTCAGAGTGTTCCAAGCCTGAAAAACATGCTTCAGAGCTGATTGCTTCCAGGCTTTCTCTTTTCTTGTCTCCTAAACTTGCCCTGAGTTATTTGATACAGTCTGGCTTGCATGGTCAGGTGCAGTAGGCAGGAGCACCGAATGCATGGCATTTGCAGTGGCTGTGTTCCTGTCACGCAGGTGTCCAGCTAGTGCGTCTGTATGACAGTGTTGAAGGTAGGATGTCCTCGGCCTTCTCTGCATACTTCTCTTGAGAACTTCTGAATCTTTGCATGGGCTGGGGATACTTTTTCAATCCTCAGTTTCCTTTTCTGTATCCTAGCAAGAAATGTACATAGCAGAATAGGACCCTCATTCTAATTGTCTCAGAAGGACTGAAAAACAGCAGAACTGCAGCTCTGTATTACCACATTCAGAGCAGAGTGAAAAGGGAAACAGATGTTCACAACTGAGACTTTGAAAGAAAGCTCTTGGAGTGTTTGGATGGGTGGGGGAAACCACAGAAATAACAATCTTCCAACTTCTGTACAAATGCAAAATAGTAAACAGGGCTTCCTATCTGGAAATGTAGAGTGTGTCTTTCAGACTGATGTGGGCTGTAATTCCTGTCAGCTCAGATGTCCCTTCAGAATTTCATTTGCAGTTATGTGTTTTGCAGAAGAACGTGTTCCTTCAAAGGCTGAAGTGCCAAGAAAACTGAGCCAGGAGAAAGTTACCACTGTTTCAGGTAATTAAAATCTTTCCTCTTTACTTTGTGTATGCACTTTCTTTTAACCTTTATTTTCTTGTCTCTTATCTTTGCTGTTTTAAAATAATGTTTTTATAGCTCTGTAAAGCTGTCTTTTTCACCTGGGTACTTGATGGCAGCAAAACTGCTTAGCACCACTTAGGATGCATGAAAACCACTTGAGAAGGATTTATAAAGTAAGCCAATTTATACAAGGTATTCCTTCCTGAATTACTTTGTAATGACTCAATTAGCTTTCATTTCTGCACAAAGGAGATTTAGTTGCATAAATTAGCTTATCATCATTGAGGAAGTGTCACTGCTAAAGGACAGTTTATAGATACAACATGCAGTTGCTGTCAAACCTATAAGAATGTAATATAGACATCTGTGTATACTTTGTGCTTGAGCAGAACAGACTTCTGCCATTCAGAGACTAACAGGGGACAACAAGTTGCCCAAGGGACTGGCAATGTAGACGTCTCTGAAAAGGTCAACTTGACACAGGCTCTGACAATCGACCCAAAGCTCTGTCTTCTTTGATAAAAATCAGATAAACTTAAGACCACTAATTGATCTGCAGCCTGTTTAAATGTTGGCCATGCATATCTTCATTGCATATGATTACCACAGAAAGCAAATGAATTGGGTAAGAAATGCCAGAGTCCAGTGACAGCAGCATAAAAATTGGAAAAGGACACAAATGCCCAGAAAGGCTGTGAAGGATATTCTCTCGGCTTTAGCTTGGCAAACTGCCCTTGTGCTAATTATCTCTGGGACTTGAAAAATAACTGCAAACACCATGTAAAGTCACATGGCCAGACAACTTTTCTTGACAGAAAGGTATTTCCAGTTATGCTTAAAAACAAGATGTATATGTGCTTCAAGGGCACAGACCTTTAGATAAACTATTGGTGATTTGACGCAGCAAGTAGAGAAGACTTGCTTCTTATCAGACCTTACACCTTTTTCAGATCTGCTGCATTGTAACTGTGACCTGCACTGACATGCAATCTGGCTCTCCTTCCCCACAATGTACATAATGCACATAATTCTTTCAGGGCTGTCAAGGAAAGGGTGGGCAAGAAGAGTTCCTTTAGGAAGTAGCTCTGCAGCGCTCTTCCTGTTGCAACATGTGGAGAGGAAACAGAGGCCTGATTTCCTGACCCATACAGGAAAGCAGGAACAGGTTGCTGTGAGGAGTTTTGGGTTGCTTTTCTTGGAAAGGAAACAAGAGACAAGTCATCAGATGCTGTTAGCATTGTGCTCTGCTAAAAACATGTGTAAAACAACATGACTCATTACAGCCTTAATATTTAGTACTCATTTAGACATTACCGTAATTATAAGTGTGTTGTCATAATGGAGCGTGAGGTCAATCCAATTATAAAGTCGCCAACAGCGTTTTTTCTTTTCAAGAATGTATCTTCTTGAAGTTTTAAATTGTCTTACTTTTAAGAAATGAAAACCTTAGCACCTTTATTTCTAAGAAAACAAACAAACAAAGAAAAAAACCAAAACAAACTGCTATGAGAACAGCTTTATCAGTCTTACTAGTTTTTGTGTACTGTCCTTGAAAATACCGTACCAGTCTTCCCGAGATATCAGATTCATTTCAAGCAGTAATTTTCTGATCTGATCTTAGTTAACTATTTAACCCTGAAAATTTGTTTGACTTTTAGGGCTGAGTTGACATGAGTATTTCTGATAGGCACCACATCATAAATATCTAACCTGACTCAAAAGTATTTCATGATTTTCCACACAAACAGCACATACATTCTTAAATGTAGTTTATTGCCTAGCTTTGCTAAACCTGAATTTCAGAGAAAATATTCTGCAAATTGTCTGTGAACTCAGCCTGGTAAGTGCAAAACCTCTTTCTTTTCTTGCCCTAACTTATCTCTACTTCAGTTAATGTGCAGATGTGAGTTCTTTTTATTCCTTCAGTCTTGATGCTGACTGTTGCTGCTGGATAGCTTTACGTTAATTGGTAGCAACCTAATTATTAAAAATACCAAAGCATTGAAAAGTTTCAGTTATATAATATGGCTTGCTGGGTGTTTTTTGCTACCACCATCCACCCATTATAATATCCACAGTCACTGTTTTAATAAGTATCATGTTCTGTGCTGTCTCAGTATAAACACCTTGATTTTAGAGTAAGTAAGGACCAGCAGGAGAAGGGAAGTGGGAAAGATAATACTGAACAGATTGGTCGAGATTAGAGGTTGAGTCCCAATAAATACACTATAATTATTTTGCCCTTATTTAATAATTTTTTTGGCATGTGGGAAAAAGTTCAAGTAAGTAACAGGCATTCTTTGAGGTTTAAAGACCATCAGAACAAAAAAATAACTGTGTTCTTTAACAGGGTGTATCTCTTCTGGGCATTGAGACTCTACACTGAGAGTCTAAATCACTTGTGTAAGACAAAGTCATTCTGGTAGTGTTAATTTTGAACTTCACTTGTCTCTCCATCTTTAAGCCTTCAGTATGATAAATATTGAGCACATCATCACCAAAAGCAGATACAGTAATTTTCCAGAAGTTCATCACTTTCAAATATTGTTAAATAGCCCAGACTAGCGATCTTCAAACCTGATGCTATACTTTTGAAGAATCTGATTGAGTGTCAAGGAATGTGAATCAGAATGGGAAGCTGTTTAACATGCTGCGCAGTGGACCACAGTGGTGAAAGGAAAACATACACGCATGTTCCTTCGTTCCAGAAGCAATGGATAAGCAGATAATACAACTAATTGCTCTAGGTCACTACTGTAGTTGTGTTTGCTAACTTAGATGCTGTCAGTTTTAAAATGGAAGGTTAGTGGAAATTTGGCCCAGTCACATTTATTCTAATGTTTTAAGTAGTATGTTTGTATAGGTGGGCTGTAATTCCTGGTCTTGTTTGGTTGCTGTAATTTTCTGCCAGGTTTGTGTTCAGAAGTGGCAAGTGCCAAAATTGGCTCAAGGGAGGGGGCAGGAATGGAACAGCCTGCAGTTAGATTGGCTTAGGATGCAATGGGACAGCACACTTAAATCCCTCTAAAATATGTTACTTTTAATCTGTTTTTCCAGGTTTTGGTTTTTGCTGTCTATTGAAGCGATTAGAATAGTCTTATTTTTTTTTTCCCTTGAGTAATCCATGGGTATTAAGTTTTAAACAGTCTACAGTGTTTGAAATGAATGCTTGAGTGATAAGACTCATCAGATTTTTTTTTTTTACCTGCAGTGTTCACCTTTCTTTTTTCAAGCATGTATTGTCAGGTGCCAGTATTTTTCAGAGAAATAAGCAGTCTGAGCCTATTGTTGCTGTTTGATCTGTCAAGTAATCTCTGAAGTGTTTTCTTCAGTATACTGGATTAAAATATCTGTTGTTCCTATTACTGTTACTGGAAAAAGAGATGGCAGAAGAAAACCATGAGGAATTTTTTGTGGAAGAGTTTTGGAAACTGTTGGATGGTTGTTCATCCAGAGAGATGTCCTGGAATGAAAGACTTTTTCCTGGAGAAACCACCTATCCAAAATCCTGCTTAGCCATTTCTTGTGTTTGGTAATACTAAAAGTAGTGGGTAGGTAACAACGAACTGCTTTCTACCCTCTGCTACACGTTTTAATTTTTTTTAATCATGTCTTATTCATATCTGTGGCCTAAGTGGCCATGCCTTCGAAATATGACAGACTCCAGTTTAGCAATTATGTCATCATAGTGTTTTTAAGGGACAAAACATTTCACGGTGTATAAGAATAACATGTAATTGTGACAAAGTAACACCAGCAAATTGATACCTTTTGAATTTGAACTCTGAGGGGCACGCAAGTTTTTGATGCTAAATCCACCAGCTGTTTTCAGGTATTACATGTGTTTAAGAAGCTCCACATAATTTCCTTAACATATAAATACCAAATTCCTTCACCCAGGTCTCCTGGTTTTGTCTTATTCAGTTCTTCAGAGGTAATCAAATGAAATTTGGCAGGGTCCTCTCTAACAGAAAGGGCAGCTGAAGTAAGAAAGAATGGACTTGTGTTTTACAGAGGTTTTTGCAGCTTTTTTTTTGTTCTCCCCCTGTGTTTGTGAACCACAGTGAATAATTTTTTGAAGCATTTTGCCCTTTAAATGTATAGATTCTGAAGTTAAATTTATAATCAGCTTTTATGTGCGTGTAGTTGCACTTACAGAATTTGGAGAAACTGGTGCTGGTGGGTATGAGAGGGGATTTCGAATCTGAAATTAGCTCTTGTTGGAAGACCAGCATAGTTGTTCACAAACTTACACTGACGTTTTCTCTCACCATTTTTAATTTCTGTGCTCCTGGTAGTACTGGTATATGGTTTTCTGAGAAATGGGGCTTTCTGATTCCAACAACTCTTCTCTTATGTTGAATTCGCATATGAGGGCACAGAGCTGTGGTTAGTCTTTGGGCAACGTCTTCACTGTAGCAATAAGCTTATGTTAAAATGCATCCTTTCAAGTGTTGCTGTGTTATTAGTTGAGTTGCTTTCGCAGTTGAAGGCTTAATTAAATGATCATGACGAACATCTAAGAAGAGATGTGTCTCACCCAGTGTGGGATCTCTTCTGTTGCTGATGTTTCCCATGTAACACCCATTAGTGTTAACAGGACTTACGTCAGGCACATAAAGGTAAGAACAGACCTCAAAGTGGTAAATTCAGTGTGAAAAGTCATGATTCATTTCAGTGCAATTCTGAAGTAAAAGTCCTGATTAATGCAGTTTAAACAAAATCAGTAAGACAGCTGCTGAAAGATTTGAGAGGTGGGTTATACAGAAATAGCTCTCTTAGTTTTTTCTTGCATGGCTTACATTATCTTTTATGAGATAGAGCTGGGAACTGTGATCAGTGCTGTATCAAGAGACTGAGGAGAGATTCTGATTTAATATTTATCACAAATTAATTTGTCACTAACCCATGTTACTGTTTATAATTGTCTAATGCTAAATTGGTAAATAATTTAACAAATCGGAAGGGCCAAAATTTGGAGGTGCAACATTTAAAATCGATTCTAGCTTTCTCTTGAAATTACTCTGTCTGTGCATTTTACAGTAACCACATCTCTTATTTCTGAATGGTCGGGAGTTTTTATATATGTATGTATTGCTGCTTTTGGTGTGATGATGGAAGAATTTGTGCAGCGGTAGTCTGAAAGCCCCCCAGTGCTGTATAGCAAGTGGTAGCTACTAATCACCAGTTTATGGAAAATTAAATGGTGGCTAACTCGCATAGCAGCTTTTAATTCAAGGCTGTGAATATTTAGCCTGACACAGTATTGCCATCAAAACAAGATAGCACAGAACCGTCTGAAATGAATAAATAGAAAACAAGCTGCTCTTGCTCACACAGACAATATTAAAATTAAAATCTAAGTATTTGTCAAAATAGGGAAAAACACAAGTTGAATACTGCTATATTTTTTTATAGCGTGACACTTTCTATCGCCTGATACTTGATATTTTAGCAGGATTTTTTCAGTAATAAAGTGAACCAATCATGATTAAATTGTAAACTATAAATAATGGTGTAGAGGGCTAATGACATGCAAATGTAACTGGTATATGTTGGAATAACCAGCAAGCCTGCTGTTCAAAGATCATATAACAGAACTAAGATGACAGCCTTGATCTAGCCAGTTCAGTGATATTTATGTTATCAGAAATAGAAGATAGCTTTCCAGTGATGTAAATTATTAGTACGTATACATTCTGTCTGGTTAGTGTATACATAATGTAACTGGTCATCTTAGTGGTATTGCTTACATTCTTTTTGCATTAACTCATCACACTCCATTCTCATGGAATTAAAAACAGGAAATAGTTTGCAGCGTAACAGAAGCAGCCAGTGTATTTAACTGTGTGTAAGCGCTGTGTTTCAATAGATGTACTCTGTATTGTAAGTGTATGACAAAGCATTTATTACTGTGTTATTGCCGTATTACAGAGCAAAGAGTGCTAAATAATCAATCAGTTAATGGTCTGTATGGCAGCTTGAACACAGCACATCCATTGTGCTTATGCTGTTAAAGGATGAGTTTATGACTGAGTGTGGTTGCATGTTTAGCCAGAGCTTAATGTCCTAAACTGGAGCTGACACAAATATTTTTAAAATGCAGCTTCAGCAACAGTTTCCAAGTTCTCCAATATTTCACAAGGAACAATCAAGGATTATCTCAAAGGTTCTCAGAGAAGTTATTTAGTTTTGTTGGAACAGGAGAGCGAGGAGGAGCGTATCACAAAATACTTACTTTGGCTTCCTTCCACAGATTATTATTAATTATATTCTAGCAATTTTATCAGTTTCAAGTTGAGATACAAATATGACTTGCTGGAAATATATTAGTAGAGGAAAACTAGCAGCTTTAAGTTGCAGCTGGAAAATGCTTTGAAAACCTGTAGCTACATGTCTTTAAGTGATACAACTTGTTGGTGAAGGGCTCACACATTAAACTTGTTTTCCACTTGCTTTTGTGCTATGAAAGAGCTGTTTCTAAAAAGAGGAGTATGAAATGTGTGCTAATAAATTTCTATGTATCTGGAGATTTAAGAGTAACTTCAGAGTCCCTCAGTCTTTCTTTTCATAATTAGATGTCGTTTTCTTTGCAGATAGCAAAAATACCGATTATGCCAATTTCTACCAAGGTTTGTGGGACTGCACAGGAGATGTACCTGATGAGTTGACATTTAAACGTGGTGACGTTATCTACATTCTCAGCAAGGTATGGGATGCTACTGGGGCTGCATAGTTGTAAAAAGAGAGCCATGGCAGAAGGGCACATTCCCACAATTCTATGGGGGGAAATTGGCACTCCCTTTCAGATCCTTTGTTTGCAATCAGATATTCACTGCAATTAATTATTTTGTCAAATGAACTATAATCACATTTAAAACATAGCCCTGTAACAGGAATTAACTCAAAAGCATGTTTATTTACTTGTTAAAACTTGGCTACCGCTTGTTAACTGATTTAATGGGAGACAATGTGCTTTCTGCTTGTAAAAGTTAACCTTGTAGAATTTTAAATTATCTTGTATGTTATGTTTTTGGTTTCCTGTTTTGTATTCCTAACTGTGCTGATTCTGACTTTTTGAGCATCTTGCCACAGAAGATGGTTTGGTTTTTTGAATGATGCTTTCATCTTTGTATGTATATTGTAATTGTTCTGACAGCTCAGATTCCAAATTTGTTTGCTCTGACAAATTTGGGCAATTTTTAGTCTACTGTTTTCCTGTTTGCAAAGCAAATGAGAAATATAATTCCTCTCATCTAAAATGATGATAAGTGGTATAAGCATGAAATTTTATTCTACCTTAATGTTGGTTAATTTTCTTATTTTTCCTTAACCTTTCCAACAAAGCCAAAACATCCCAAAACATGTATCTCGTGGTCCATTGAAGTCTACTTCTGAGCAACTCATCAAAGGAAACTTCTGTTTTCCCCACATATTAGAAAAAAAGCTGAGCTTTTCAAGTTCTCATTGAAAAAAAAGCTGTTAAATATATGTAGGATATATCTCAGATGTAATTGCTGTTCAGTATAATTAATGCCAAAGATACTGTAGGTCATTGAAATATACAAGTAGGTGCATGAAAGCTAAAGGCATCTGTTTGTGTAACTTTCAAACTCTTCAGTTTTGTCACGATTGCTTTAAATCTTTCATGATACCTTTAACTGCAATTTTTCCAGGTAATATTTGTAACAGCTTCTGTTTAAATAAATTTAAGATTTATGGATAGAAAGATAGTCCTGTATAAAAATATAAACGATATATTACTAATGGTAATGCAACCATGTATGTCTTTTGAGGTATTTGTCACTTAAACTAATAACTGAACTGCATTACCGAAGGCCGGATAACACTCTTGGGTTGGGCAGACTTTCAAGCAGTTATACAGCACTGAAGAATGGTACTAATTTAAAATGATCATCTCTTCGCTCTCTCCCTTCCCCCCAAAAAGCCCATGAACAAACGGATCCCACTGTACGAGTCTGGCCTCTTTGTGAGTTGTGCTTTTCTAGTACAGTGTGGGGACTATAAAATCTTAATCTTCAGTTTGTAGGTGAAAAAATAATTTGCTACTTCTCCCCCAAAAGAGTGAGAAATTAAATTTAAAAAATGGAGCAGAATAGAGAAACAGTTGCTTAAGCTGCCCTCTGTATATCAGCTGTCCTGTGGTCATGCCATGATTAATCCATAATCGGTCCTTGAAACAGGCTTGCTGCAGCTCCAGACATATAGAGCCTCTCTCTTTGGGAATGATTTCTATGCCAAAATACAGCCTAGAAAATTCAGCCCTGTTTCGCTTAAAGGTTGTTACAGCTTTGTCAGAAGAATGAGTGTTGGCCACTACTGTCAGCTCTGAATTTAGGGTCCCTGGAGGGGAAAGTGCCAGAGAATTATCCATCTTAACCCTCCACTTGATTCAGTTTCAAGGTCTGATCGTTTATGAGCTCTTTGTCTGGTAAGTGAAAATATAACCAAAGGAAAGTGAACCTAACCATCCTGAAGTGGGTCAAGACTTTTCTTCTAAAATATTTCCTAATCCACCACATTAATACTTGGATTTTGTGGCAGTCGGCAGGAATCCTTGGCAATTTTTTAATTTTTTCACACCATCTAGTGGTTGAAAATGAGAGATGCAGCTACTGACAGGAGGTGATGTGTATAGATCCAAAATGGTGTCATAAATTAAGCTTCAGCTTGAACCTAGCTATGGCTTTATTGCCTTTCTATCATATGTCAGCCAGGTATGAACATTACTCTTGAAAATCACATTTTGCTGATAAGGAAGTAAGTATGGGTGTAGCAATGTTGCAGTAGGAAGGGTGAAGCATTAACAAAGTATCGAGCATATTTGGGCAACATGTAATAGTTCTTTGTTTTACGATGAAATATAAATGGTATAGCTTGCTCTGACGGACGTGATAACTATTGCTTGGAGAGACAAATACCTTATGCCAAAGCAATATATTTTTACCTGCTTTTCACATACCTTCATAGAAATTAGGGGAAAAGTGAGTATTTTGTTTCCAAGAAATGAGATCATTAGTACAACAGAAGTAATTAGGAACCAGTTTAGCAAATTTGGTCATTGATATAATTAAAATAAAGCAAGAGGAGCAACATGTTACATGTAAGTTTCTAGGTGAATGCCTTTTAGAAGAATGAGCAAGGTTTCAGTTTGGCAACATTTACTTCCTAAAATAGCCTAAGTATTACACAAAGACAAATCCCCCTTATTTTGCTTTAAACTGAGCATCAAAATTCAATGTTAGTGCAATGAGCATGATTTGCATGCCTGTACTCTGCTAATACAAATACCTATGCCTGACTAGGGTAATTACTGTAGAAAAGCATGCTTTCCTTGTTTTAAAGGTGCACTCAAAAACTATTTGAGCTATTATCTAAGTATTTATGTCCGTTGTGGTTTTTGTGTGGCAGGAGTCCCATGGGCTCTTACAAAAAAAAAAAACCCAAAACTTTTTTCTAGTTTTTTCTACCTTTAAGAGTTTCCTTCAAAAGTTAAGTTTTTTAATTTGAGCAGAATTAACAGAACTGTTGCAAGAGTACTTGTTAACCTTTATTTTAAAATTAGTTAACTTTAATTGCTCAATGTATCTGTACAGATAAACTCATACTATTATAATTTTAATTTATAATATTCTTGAATATTCAAGTGGCTTTTATAACTTGTGCTATGAATCATGAACTTTCAGAAAGCTATGCAGTAGAAAATATTTTATAGCTTTACTGATAGAGGGACTCATTAGTAAGATTTCTTAGTTAATATTGACTGTTAGAAATGCAATACTTGGGCATCCTGCTTTCTGAAAGGAGGATTGCTCTTAACTCCTGCTTATTTATGGGCTTGCCTTTGCTTTCAAGCCCATATGATGAATGGGGAAACAAACTGTGACATAATAATCCTTTTTATAAATCTTCCATAGCTCTGTTCAAGAAATCAATTTCCAGAAACAAAGACAACTGTGAGTGGAGGTAGCCCTATTATTATTTTTACGTTTGATATGCACAATTCATGCAAGTGCAGCACTTACAGTGTTTGTTTGCTTTAGGTGCATGTTTTGTGTTAGGAAATTCCATAGTTTCATCAGCCAAATGCAAGCAGTAATGACAATTTACTTAGGTGTTAGCAGGCACCTGCTCAGTAGAATTACTAATGTTTCTTAACTTTTAAGCTAATTTATTTCCCACCTTATTTATATTTATATTTGCATTAAACCAACAAATAATACTGCAAAATCAGAAATTATATCTCAAACTGGTATTCTCCCTTCCTGATATTATTTCAGTACATGCCAATGCAATATAATGCTACACACTTTTGTATTTGTGATTCATGGAAATCTTGTCTATGACTTAAACCTTTGCTCTAGAATTTTCCATGAAAGTGAAGTGTTAACTTCTAACCTAGATTACCATTTATGCACTGGTTGTACATTTCCAGTGTGGCAGATTTTTATTCTTTCAAAACAAGAGATGTCTGTTAAAATGCTCACATCTCAACCTGTATTTTTTGCTTAGTGAAAAGACAAACAAAATAATCTCCATAGCTCAGATTACTGTTTATGAAATAAAGTACAACTTAACAGTGCAGCTGTTTCACAGTGTGAGTATTTTGTACATTATCTGCATAATCTTAATGAAATGTATTTATTTGTTATTTTTCAAAAAGATGTGAAAGGCATACTAAAATCCTGAGTGTTGGTGGTTTTTTTTTTTTGTCAGGCTATTTTCTGACTGATCATACCAAGATCTGTATTTAATAGTAATTTCTCTTTCCATGACCATACAGCCTGTGTCTTCCTTAGCAAATAGGCAGTACCAATAGGAGCAGATTTGTGGAGTGAAACACTTAGTGCTGAGACCCTGGCACCCACATGTGTGTTTTCAAACGGGTTTGGTGTCCAAAGAGGTCTAGCCTGGTTTTGTGGAACTGAGAACGTGTTAGTGGTTGGAGGACATTCAAGTGCATCTTCCATTTTAGCTTCATCTGAAAGAAGTGTGGCATGTGTGCTCTGAGACTGATAGCTCTGCGAAGTGCACCAAGGTGGGGAAGCATTGGGAGATTCACTTCAGTGGGGCGCTTCTGATCAAAACTAAAATGCAATACTAAGTTGTGTATTTCCTTCTTCTGGCTTGTTTAGGTATATTCCTTACAGAAAAAATGAATAAATGTGTGGCTAAACATCAGAGCAAAGGCCTTTAAATAGAAGGATAGTTAAGACAGACAAATGCAAAGTGACTCCAGCTTGGTTGGTTTGCACATTGGTAATATGTAAGCATTTACCTACTTGATTAGAAAAAAAATGTACATTGTGTCATGTAATGCAAAATAAAGTGTCCCTTCTGTCGTTTCAGGGTGCTTTCAGGGGCCAGTTTTGGTTCAGAATTCAGTCTGCTTACCCTGATTTATATTGGATCTCATTAATTGGTGTCTACTTTGTCTCATGTCTTTGCAGGAAATAAAACCTAATAACGCAACCGTACAATAAATCTGAGGCTTATGTTCTTAAAGATGACCACTTTATTGCTGTCTTAAAACAACCCTACTACCTGTGAAGAAGTCTCATTCAGTTATCTAAAACATTTGTCGTTTTCTGCTTTTTAGTGAAAACGCTGTTCTGTGCCAAAAATGCTCCCTGGTTGATAGTGTATCATTCAGCAATTACACCAAAGGAAATTCTAAATTTTTTTAGCTAGTCTGAATCTCCTGGATGAATTAGAGGTGTTTTAAAATATTATCTTGCCAAACTTGCCCCTCAGGATATTCTTCAAAAAATAGTTCTCCCTGCTTTTCCCGCACATCTTTAGCTTGATAGGAGAGGCTACTTATTTTAACCCCAAACAAGGCTATAGATATGTTTTGCTTTTCAGTTTTAAAGCCTGCAGACCTTCAGCCTGTAAGTTAATGTTACTTATAGTGCCACTGGAAGAGGGCAGGAGAAAAATCTTGAATTCGCACACTTCAGTTGTGTTTTTTTAAAATACAACTCCATTGTTTGCTTCAAGGCATTGAAACACAATGATGATTTTCAGCAACTCTTTTTAAAAAACAAAACAAATAAAAATAACCCCACCCCACAAGCACAAAAAGCATACCATATGTATTGAACAATAGGGATTAATTGCACAAGGACCAGATGTTCTCAACTTTTGCTGAAGTCAGTAGAAGTTAATATAGTGCAAAGCATCTGGATATCCTCATTTGCACAGAGGATCTGCTCTAAAGGTAGAGACTGTTCTGGAAATCCTCTTGCATATAAACGTTTTCTCTTCTTGCACATCAAAATTCTCTTCTAACTAGTACAAAAATCTTGGATTTAAAAGATATCTGTAAAAAACCAGGTAGTGTGTTTCTACCTACTGTGTTTTCCCCAAGTGCTAAAACTTTTACGATGGTTGTCTTGTGGAGTCGTAGGTAGTTGATACACGTAAGTGCAGCGAAATTGGTGGGATGGGGACAAGGAGAAGCATCTGCTCATACTGTGTTCAGTTGAGAGCGTTTAAGGAGCCTGTAAACCCTGATGGGATTCTTTTCCCCCACTATCATAGCATGCTGTACAGAGTGGTTTCCCAGCTTGTTAAATATTAAGTCATAACCTGCTCCTTGCTGCCCTGTGAAATTACTTCACTTTGGTTAATAAATTTCTGCTTGGGAAAAAAAAATAATAAAATCCCCTCTTACAAACAGTGGAAACACAGAAGTAGCTTAGAAAGCATTTGGTCATTTGTTAAGGTGGTTGTTCCGTATTGTTTGTCAGAATATGTTCCACTGCCCTGGTGCCTGCCTTGCAGGGGTTGCGGTGGCCCCTTCCTCCCCCCCAGCATCGCCTGGCATGGCGAATGTGCTCCAGTCACATGGTGGAGCCCTGGCCGCACACTTGTGCATTCTCCTCATTGCAGGGTGGCTGGATCTGGCCCTGCCCCCCTCTCCTATCCCTCTGTTTGCCTTGGAGCAATTCATTTTGCAGTTATTGAATTTCTTTGGAGAGTTATTTTCATACAGCAAGCATCACAGCACCTCTGGATCTTGATAGCATTTCTACATAAGGAGAAAGAAGCTTTGTGTTAGTAATTACCTAACATTGTCAGGAGCTGACTGCAGGCCTCTTTCTAGTGATAACAGAATAACCACATAATGTAGCTTTATAGCACATGATTAATAGAAAATAATTACACATCCTACAAAGGGATGCAATATTTCTTATAAATTGACTACAATGGTTTCCTGTAGATTAAAGGACTCTTTATTATTTTATCAGTCCTTCTGAAGTATAGTCGCTTGCCTATGTTAGCCGTGATGTTAAGAGCTGAATGCAGTGAGGGATACCAGATGGTAAACCCAGTGGTACCTGAGATCTGAAGCTGATGCTTGCAAAAGCAGCGTGCTTCCCAACTCTTAAAAATTCATATAAAACTCCTAACTGTATTCATATCCTTCTGTGTATTAATCATTATTTCCCACAAATGTGGGCTTTAGACTTTTATTCTACACATCTTAAGCAGCGGTAATAGACATATGGACCTCACAACAGCAGTGTATTAATGAAATTATATTGCTATGAAGGCGTTTTTAATTGATAAACTCCTGAGTGGTTAGGAGTTTAAAGAGAAATGTCTGTACTTTAATCATTTTAAAAGGGAGCGCTAGCTAATTATTCTAAAACCTGAGATTAAAGTTTTATATTCTTGATAGCCAGGTATCTGCACTGTATTTTTGTTCAGGCTTCTATAGACTGTGGATAGTTTAATTGGGATTCATGTTGCTCTTGAGACCCATGCAAAGAATAGTAATGTAAAGTAAAAGCTTCTGTGTTGCAATGTTGTCTGTATGGTATAATGGTTGCAGTGAATCCTTAAATTAGTTTACTAGTCTGTTACATCAACATTCATTTCATCATCTCACTTAGCTTCATGCCAGAGCAGTAAGTGGTGTATTAGTAAGTAGCAAAACCCAGAAAGTTTTCAAAACAGCAGCATGGTTTTAATTTTAATTTGAGGTATCTGAATTGTTTATTGGAAAACAATTGTTTCTAAGTTCATGTAGTGTTGCTAAGTGGAACATTTTCAATGGATAATGTAGTCTGTGGGCTTTTTCTATGCCATTTGTCATATGCAATTTAATGACCGCTTAACTAAGCCACTTCCCTCATTTCATGTATTATTTGTTTTTTTGGCTGATGTCTAGCAAAACTTGCTTAATCACTCTTGACAGTCACTTCACAAGTTCCATGTAACAGCTTAAAATCTTTTGTTGCTTTCTCTTGGAGAGATTTATTGCTGAGATTCCAGTAGTATACGTGAGTACCGCTCCTTTCAGCAATTTCCCACTTCAGTCTAGAAATCTAGTTTGTATATTTAACCAGTGTATTGTGAAGTAAAACACAGATTTTTAAACAGGCTGATCTGGAACATTATAAACTTTAGTGCCAGGGTATTATTTAGCCTTTAAGGATTTGGAGTGTAATATGTACCCTCATGGGAAGGGTTATCAGCAGTTCTTAACTTCTGTGGAGAGCAGGTTGCACTGAAGATCAGGATCATATACCTCTAGACTTTCAGACCAGACCCATCCCCAGCAGTCTTGTTCTGCAGTGGAAGGGGGAAGAAGGTGGAATTATTTTGCAGCTTTCTTGTTCGTGTGTTCACATCATAAACGAAAGTTTTCCTGCTGCTCTTTATGTGGATTTTTCTTTAAATCACACTTACTGCAGTACTTTATGGATAGTAGGGTTGAATCTTTTAAATCACCAATTCACCGTGAAGAGAAGGAAGAAAACGCTTGACTGGTGTTCAGCCTTCTACAATAAGAAAACATGAAAGTGTGTCTGTGTCTGCATGCAAGTGTTTCTTTTTTTTTTTTAAAAAAAAAAAAAAGCGAGGGCGGGGGAAAAAAAGCCTGGGCCCACATGAAAGTGGGCCATCAACAGGGCTTCATCCGTAGTTAAGCACAGGCAGAGCTGAGTATACTAAGCACCTCATAGGACCCTAGAGAACTCTCACCAGGCCAAATATGCCAGCAGCAAATCATTATAGCTTGGGCTCTAATGAAACTCCATTAACCCTTAAGCTCCACTTGACTATTTATAACCGAAAAACTTTATCTACAGTCAAAGTAATAGCTGCTTCTCCGTAGGACCATTAATTCAAAATCCTACAGCCTTTTGCTTTTCTCGTCAGATGAGCAGCGTAGCAGGAAGCAGATGTTGCTTATCAGAGATATCTGTGTATTTTTGTATTTTCCATGTTTGTTCCAAAGTAATCTCTATCTTACTAATCATTCAATTTTGAATGGGGTCTCTGTTTTAATAAGGCTTCATTTGTAACTCAATATATGTGTGCGTGCAATTTCAGCTGTTACAATTTATTGAACCACTGTTAGGATTGATCTTAAAATATTTACCTCATAGGAAAAAAATTAAATTTGGATCCCACAATACTCTTACTTGGTATTGCTTTTGGAAGATATTATTTCTTTAAACTATTATAATTCATTTTGTTTCATATTTATCTCACTAAGCCTAAACAAATTTCAAACAAAAGTACATTAGTCATTTGTCAGATATATGAGATCTGCTGTAGAATTTTCTGCAAGCCTGGAGCAATGGTAGACACTGTCCATAGAAAGAGATTATGTATTAGATATATAGTGTTCCCTTCACATCTGAGCAAAGTAGTTTCTAAAATAAGTTGATTGTAAGTTTCTTAGAGTTTAGCCTTGTGATACTGAAAGAATCTCAGTTGATTCTTATATGTCAACATTGTGCTATTAGATTTTAGTTACCAAGATAAGGTTTAAATATTTGTGATGAATAGAGGATGGAGAGGTCAGCTATTTTTAGTATGTGTTACACAGAAGCGTGGCCTTAATTAAGAAATTTTCCTGAGTGTGCCTGGCCTTTTTAAAATTTAACTTCTGTCTTTGCCGATCTCTGCATGTGAATGCCTCTAACAAAAAGATATAATGTTTTAATTTTCAGTTGAAATGATTATAACTGTATATACGAGAAAGCATCCATAAGGAGTTGCATACAAAACTCTATTGCATTTATATCAGACTAAAGGTTAATATTGCATATTGTTTTCAATTAGGAGTACAATAGATTTGGCTGGTGGGTAGGAGAAATGAAGGGAACCATTGGCTTGGTGCCTAAAGCCTACATAATGGAGATGTATGATATTTGAGAGGCCTGGGTAAGTACATTTTAATCCAATCTTCTGTAATGGCTTATACGTTCCCTTGTTCTCTGTTTCATAAGTATTTCTTTCCTGGAACCTTTGTAGGAGTCCTGTTAACATAAAGATTATGGTGAAATATATTGAGGGCTCAATTAAAGCACTTTTTCTGGGATTTTGTATGAAATATTAAAGCACAATGTACAAAAGTTGATGTATTTTATAACTATGTTCCTTTTCCAGATTTTTTTTTTGTAAAATAAAATTGGTGTGCTTTCTAGTTAGTTTTGTTACTTCAGTAACATGTGCGTCTGTGCAGAAAACTGTGGAAGGTGATAGATATTTGGACTGGGTTTGATATGCATGTTTGAGGTTTTTTGGTTAACGATGAACTTTCAACTTCCCTCTCCCTAAACAGGAGAAACCTGCACTTGAAATAAAGACTGGTGTGCAGCTGCAGTTTACAGACTCGGCCTCTGAAAGAAGATGATTCTGTGTATAGGTTTTGTGGTTTTCACTGAATGTAGTCAGATCCTTTCCTTCTGTATATTAAACATTAAAAACTGTAATCGATCATAATTCTGTGGAAATGTTCTTCTCAGCCACTTCTTATAGGCTTGTACTGCTAGGAAATTAAATAGATGGTAATTAACATCTGGGGCACAAGCAGCCAAATAGTGCCTGTTGCTCTTTTCTTAAGCATATTAGCAGCACTCTGTATGGCTATAGGTTTGCATTCTTTCAGGGAATTTCCTTATGTTTTCCTGTTCTTCAGACTTAGAAAAATGAAGCTGAACTTCGGAAGTAGAAAACTACTGCTCAGTTCATGCACACATTAACCTTTTAATGCTTTTAATGTTTTTTGCGGTTTCGTAGGAAAATCAAGGGAAATTTATGTGTAATATTGCAAATCTTCAGGGTATTCTGCTTCCACATGCTTTTGTATTATGTTTTAGGCAATGATTTATTTTTCTTATATACTTAGTATTGTGTTGTTACTTAGTATTTTGTTATCACAAAATGAAGGTTTGGATCTTTTGTTGATGTAACAAGTCAGCCTGCTTATAATACTGCCTTGATACCATTCTGACTTGAAGATGTGAATTATGTGAAAATTTGTAAAAAAGAAAATATATTTAAAAATACAATTTTTGCTGAGTTACCGTGAACTAAACAGCAGGTAAAAATGACTTTTGTCTGTGGTAGTGTTGAAATATTTGACTCTGTGAAAGTATCTATAAGGTACAGATAAAATCTGGGTGCCTTGTTGATATGTGGAATTTCTGATACAAGTTGTGCAGCGGACGTCTTCAGCTCTACGTGGATCAGTAACAGCTACCTGCAGTCTTAGTGTCAAATCCAGAACTTTTTGGCGAAAAGCATCAGTTGAAAAGTGGAAAAGTGCACTAGAATACTACCACTTGTGGACAAGAGGTTGGGCAGGTCAGAGTTAATACTTGAAATACTCTTGTTTTGGAGATGCGCTTTACTATTAGCATGCAAGATCAACTTTTTTGGATCCTCCCACACGCTTGATTTGTGAGACCCTTAATCTGCCAAAGAGGCAGGGCAAGCCAGTCTGCGAATTGCTGAGCCTGTGCAGGTCCCCTTGTCGTTGCTTGTGCTGTTTACGCTTCAGGCGGGCCCTGGGAAGAGTGTGGGTGAAAAGGTAACGTTGGCCTGAACTCGGAATTAGGTCCTTTCGGTAAACGAAGGCGTTGTGCTTTGTGTTAGCTGATGCGTGGTGCTTGATGGTACGCTGGATTCTAATGGGAGTCAAACAGGGTACAGGGTTTTGTTCTAATTTTTTTTTTAAAGAGATAGTCATTGAAATTGATTCTGCACGTTATCAGCACAGCATTAAAATGATAGATTATAGTCTTCAGATCTTTTACTACTTTAATTTATCAAGCGTCCTGGCGGATTGTGTACAGAAGGGGAAGCGTTAATACCTCGGCTAGAAAAGCTCCTTCTCCCTTGTTAACATGGCA